GAAGTTGAAGCTCCTGCAATTTTGAAATTTAATTCTGAAGAATAAACTTGTTTTCTGTTCTTATTTGAATTTAATTTTTTGATATTATAACTTGATTCACTTCCAGTTTTTCTTTCTTTTTAAGTTTAAGGTTGAAGGAGCTAAAATTGAATTCGATTTGTACATTTCCTTGATGTCTCAACTCCATAATTGATTGAAAAATTTAAACTTCTGAGCTAGTTGTTTAGCTTGTCTTTGCGAAAAGCTGCTTTTCTGCAGTGTTTGATTGTACGTAATGCTTTTGGTATGTTGTAAGATTCAAATCATATTACACTGAATTTTTTTAAACAGTCAATCAGTCGCGTTTCGTTTGTAGTTTTTCCTTGTCTACGTTTTTGTACCGACCATTTGAAAAATGAGGAGAATTTTTCTATTCGGGTGTTGTTTTTTCCCCCTGTCTTCGCAAAATCAGGTAGCACAAATAATGATTTGACTGGGTTGAGTGATGTATTTTGTTAAAGCCCTATCAGACGTGATTCGAACGACATTAAAAGTTTCAGAATTGGGAAAAACAGATTTGCAGCACTACTCTTACTATTTTTTCTGAAACGCTGGGTGTGCTGACTTCAAGTAGATCATGCGGATATCGTCCTCGCCAGGTGCTTTTTTCTTGATTTATTTTCGACTCCTCCATAATTTTCCCCCTGCGGGCATGGAGCTACAGTTTTCTACCATCTGTCGGCCTTCTGGCGTGGCTCGTTCGAACTCCCGTGTGATTTTCCTCGCTTGGAAGTCATTCATTTGTATCGCAAGGTCGTAGAGATAAAAATTTTACAACAATTCTGATTAGTTTGAATAATTGGTTAATAGTAAATTATTGGTAATTGATTGATCTAAAACAGTACAGTTGAACGTTAGATTTAGTGATAACAGTTTTAACTTCAAATTGAGTTCGCTCAATGTAACTGTTAAACCTGTCTGCAAGTATTTAGTCTTCTTTTCTTGACTAAGCTATCTTCTGTCAGTCACGTTAAGACTTTGTGCGCACTGTGAGGAAAATTTTCAGGAAAAAACGTTCAGCCTGCGAGCTTCTAAATTTTCTATTAAATTAATGATTAAACCTTCTTGTAGGTATTTGAACAAAATTGTTGTTTTCAAATTTCGCAAAACCACAAGGTGAGGGTTTATGTTAATTAAGTCACTTTTATGACAACTCTTTAGAGCAGCCATAATAGTGCTTGATAGTTAGTTTATGTATCTGCTTGTCAATTGCGCGAAGTTGAAGCTCCTGCAATTTTGAAATTTAATTCTGAAGAATAAACTTGTTTTCTGTTCTTATTTGAATTTAATTTTTTGATATTATAACTTGATTCACTTCCAGTTTTTCTTTCTTTTTAAGTTTAAGGTTGAAGGAGCTAAAATTGAATTCGATTTGTACATTTCCTTGATGTCTCAACTCCATAATTGATTGAAAAATTTAAACTTCTGAGCTAGTTGTTTAGCTTGTCTTTGCGAAAAGCTGCTTTTCTGCAGTGTTTGATTGTACGTAATGCTTTTGGTATGTTGTAAGATTCAAATCATATTACACTGAATTTTTTTAAACAGTCAATCAGTCGCGTTTCGTTTGTAGTTTTTCCTTGTCTACGTTTTTGTACCGACCATTTGAAAAATGAGGAGAATTTTTCTATTCGGGTGTTGTTTTTTCCCCCTGTCTTCGCAAAATCAGGTAGCACAAATAATGATTTGACTGGGTTGAGTGATGTATTCTGTTAAAGCCCTATCAGACGTGATTCGAACGACATTAAAAGTTTCAGAATTGGGAAAAACAGATTTGCAGCACTACTCTTACTATTTTTTCTGAAACGCTGGGTGTGCTGACTTCAAGTAGATCATGCGGATATCGTCCTCGCCAGGTGCTTTTTTCTTGATTTATTTTCGACTCCTCCATAATTTTCCCCCTGCGGGCATGGAGCTACAGTTTTCTGCCATCTGTCGGCCTTCTGGCGTGGCTCGTTCGAACTCCCGTGTGATTTTCCTCGCTTGGAAGTCATTCATTTGTATCGCAAGGTCGTAGAGATAAAAATTTTACAAGAATTCTGATTAGTTTGAATAATTGGTTAATAGTAAATTATTGGTAATTGATTGATCTAAAACAGTACAGTTGAACGTTAGATTTAGTGATAACAGTTTTAACTTCAAATTGAGTTCGCTCAATGTAACTGTTAAACCTGTCTGCAAGTATTTAGTCTTCTTTTCTTGACTAAGCTATCTTCTGTCAGTCACGTTAAGACTTTGTGCGCACTGTGAGGAAAATTTTCAGGAAAAAACGTTCAGCCTGCGAGCTTCTAAATTTTCTATTAAATTAATGATTAAACCTTCTTGTAGGTATTTGAACAAAATTGTTGTTTTCAAATTTCGCAAAACCACAAGGTGAGGGTTTATGTTAATTAAGTCACTTTTATGACAACTCTTTAGAGCAGCCATAATAGTGCTTGATAGTTAGTTTATGTATCTGCTTGTCAATTGCGCGAAGTTGAAGCTCCTGCAATTTTGAAATTTAATTCTGAAGAATAAACTTGTTTTCTGTTCTTATTTGAATTTAATTTTTTGATATTATAACTTGATTCACTTCCAGTTTTTCTTTCTTTTTGAGTTTAAGGTTGAAGGAGCTAAAATTGAATTCGATTTGTACATTTCCTTGATGTCTCAACTCCATAATTGATTGAAAAATTTAAACTTCTGAGCTAGTTGTTTAGCTTGTCTTTGCGAAAAGCTGCTTTTTGCAGTGTTTGATTGTACGTATTGCTTTTGGTATGTTGTAAGATTCAAATCATATTACACTGAATTTTTTTAAACAGTCAATCAGTCGCGTTGCGTTTGTAGTTTTTCCTTGTCTACGTTTTTGTACCGACCATTTGAAAAATGAGGAGAATTTTTCTATTCGGGTGTTGTTTTTTCCCCCTGTCTTCGCAAAATCAGGTAGCACAAATAATGATTTGACTGGGTTGAGTGATGTATTTTGTTAAAGCCCTATCAGACGTGATTCGAACGACATTAAAAGTTTCAGAATTGGGAAAAACAGATTTGCAGTTTTAAGTTTTTAGTCTAATTTCGAGCGAATAACGCGAGCGAGCAGGCTTACAGTAGCTTATTTATGCTTAATTTAGGCAGTGAAAATTTAGTTTTAATCAATTCAAGTAAACTTTTGGAGTGTTTTAAGCGCCATTTGGGAATGCCTATTCAACTTCGACTGTTGCAGTTTTTAGTTCAGATTATCTTTTCACACCACGTTACCAAAAAAAAAACAGATTTAAAATTTTAGATTCTCAGTCTAAATTCTCAGACTTGAGCGAGCGAATAGGCTTACTCTAGCTTTATTATGTTTAATTTAGGCCGTGAAAACTTAGTTTTACGCGATGAAAGTTAGTTTTTGGAGTTATTTAGAGCCATTTGGTAATTAAAAACTTCAAAAGTACTCAAATTTTTTTAAATTTTTTTGTCATTTTTCTATAAAACCTGTTGTCCAATTTGCCTATTCAACTAATACTGTCGAATATTCCTGCTTCCAGTTTTTATTTCAGATCCTTTTAACTTACCACACAAAAAACGATACTAATTTGAGAACAAAAACCGTTTTTAGTGTTATTTAAAGACTCTGGTCGGAACATTCTGTGCTACTTGCACAGTAAACGGATATCCTTGTTTCATTTGACTACAATTATAGAGTTTTTTCGAGAGCAACGCCTGTGTTACGATGTTATTCTTTTTCAAACAAATATGCATATTTAGGTGTCAATGAACGAATTGAAGACACTTACTTAAATTATTCCTCCGACTATTGAAAATGGAGAGGAACTTTGTTTTCGGGTGTTTTCATTATTTCTTCAATTTTTTTCCAAACAAAATCGTATACCACGGATAGTCATCGGACAGGTCCGACTTATATGTCAAATTAAATTTTTTTGTTTTTTTCAATCATTTTTTGACTAATACTGTGGCCAATGTTACAAAGTGTCGAGTATATTCAAGTGTTAGGCTTTTGTCCAATCTTTTCATTTCATTCAGCACAAAAAAAACGACATTCAATTGAAAAAAAAAATTTTTTTTTGGTTTTGAAGAATTATGTGCTACTTGTACAGCAACCGGCTATTCCTGTTTTGTTTTTGTTTTGTTGTTTTTTTTTAGCAAAATATCTCAAAAACTGAACACGCTGAGTTTTGATTTTTCGCATTATGAGTTTTGAAATTACGCTTTGTATTAATTAATTTGCAAATAATAAATGTGCAAAAAGGAAATCGAATCACGTTAAGTTTCGGAAATGGAATTTTCTTTGATGATATCCCATTTTAATACAAATACATGTTGATTAAGTTTTCTCAAATTGGGTTAGCTTTAGCCCAATTTGTTAAGTTGTTTAAAATAGTTCAATAGTTAACTTGATGCTGGTTAATTTGATAGTTATCGATTTGATACTTGATGGCTCAGTAGTTAGTTGATGTGCCAGATTCTCTAACAAATGTTGAACACCAAAACTCCCAAGATCATAACAAGTGAAACATGTGCAGTTACGTGCGCTTTCACTGTTTCTGAGGGAACAGAAATTGTTTTTGCCATCGGCCCTGGTAACTTGCTCTCTTCGAGACAGTGCTCGCTCAAACAAAACAATTGAATAGTACTCGCCCAAACAAAACAATCGCTTAAACTCAACAATCGCCTTAACAAAACTATCGAAAAAAAAATTATTTTGCAAGTTTTTTCGCGGCACTCAATAAAACATTAAAAAGCCTGAGGAAATCAAATGACTGCATGCTTACTACTTCTCAACTCCCTGCTGGCGGTTGATTTGATAACGCCTCTGCTGTGTTCTGACAGTTTGAACGACTCTGAAAAACGCAGCGAATAAGATTTATAATCAAATGGCCAGATGGCGGTGCGTTTAAACTGTGCTAATAGAATCACATGAAGCTAGGAATATCGACTGAGTCGAATAGTTTAATTTGTTTTTCTTCAATTTAAGGTGCAATATGAAAGAGCTCGCCTGATAGCTTGATGGTTTCTATATAAATGGGTTTACGTAATTTCTGACTGAAATTGAAAATGTCTGCCGAGGCGCTCAATTTTTACCAACTTCTTGAATTGCAACGGGATTGTTCAGTTGATGACATCAGACGAAGTTATAGAAGACTGGCTTTAAAATTACATCCCGATAAAAACCCAGACGGAGAGCGGAAAACATGCGAGTCAAATTTCCAAAAAATCAATGAAGCTTTTATGACTTTGAATGACCCTGAAAAACGCAGTGAATATGATTTGTATTTAGACAATGAATCAAATTACAACTTAGTTAGAGACAATGTTGGATCCGAAACCACCTTTAGAAATTTTAGCTGCCCTGAAGGTTTCGAGAGACAGTTTTTCACAAGAGATTTTCCGGAGATGTATTTTTGTAACTTTAATTCTGAAACGAACAGTGGAAACAAGAGGTCTGGAAACAGTTCCAGATATAAGTATTCACATACGGGCTGGCAAAACTGGGATGCGAACCAAAATCGAAAAAGGAAGAAGTTTCGAGGTTTTGACTATGGAGCTATTCCTAAACGGGACGAAGCATTTTGGCGGCAGCATATGAAACGGAATAAAGTCGCGTCTCACCACGACGACCCAATGTCTTATGTTGCATACATTACACCACTTATTGTTATAGTTTTGCTACTGATTGTGAATGCTCTTATTGAGTCGAAATCTCTATTTTCATTCAATTCGGATTACTATTACACCGAATTGCGACATACGAAGGGAAAAAATGTGGCCTACTATGTTCACGAACATTTTGCGGATAAGTTCGAAGGAAGCGTGAAAGAGTTCGAGAATCACGTGGAGTTCACTTTCAAAAACTACTTGCATAGTTTATGCGAAGAGGAATCAGAGTATAAAATGAAAAACATAAACAAAGCAAAATACTTTAAAAATGAGGAGCTGTTGTATGAAATGGAACAGTTGAAATTACCCCATTGTAAATTATTTGACCAATTTGTAGCTACATAAACATTTGTAAAAAAATTTAAGTTCAAAAGTTTTGTCAAAATCTTTTTATGAATGTTGTTTTCATGTTTATAAACAAAAGAAACTATTAATCTAAGTTTTTTGCTCTTTAAAAAAACTTTTGATTGAAATTTAACTTATGATTTTTATAAGATTCAGTTCAAGTCAAAGTTCGCTATATAAAAACAAATGACAGGATTAAAAAACGTGAATGGCTCTTAGTTTCAAGCCCAGCGGAAAACAAATATGCCAGTTGACTGCCCTCAGAACTCGGACATGTTGGTGCATATACAAAACAGTCCCATACAAAATAGTCCGAAAAATCATGTAATGGAGGGAAAAAAACAGTCTGATACAAAACAGTCCGGTTTAAGGTCCCAGGTGGGCGCGCGTCGCCGCTTCGCGGCGATAACCGGCTCTAAATTTCGTATTAAGTCCTACCCTCTGTTGTCAAGCTCGCAACACGTTGGCGCGACTGCGGGCGGTCACTATTTTATTCATCTTGTTTGTTGTACAAAGGACAATTTTCGGCCTACCGGCTTGTTGTAACAATTATTAATTGGGACTGTTTTTTTGACTGTTTTGTATCGGACTGTTTTTTCATTCGTTTTCATACTTTTCTGGACTGTTTTGTACTGACACGGGGCATAATACCTCGCACGCTTTTCGAATCGTTTCTAAAAGAAATGTTCTCTGCAAAGATGTTTGTTTCGTAGACTTTTGCATTTTATGAAAAGGTTTGTAACATCTGTTTTAAAGCCTATTAGGTAAGAGATATTTATTATCTTTTGATGAAATCATGAAAACGCTTTTTCAGAAACTTTGATTGTGAAATAGAAAACACAGGGTTGAGGGTTTGCGGACCACATGGACCCGTTTTTGGTGCTCTCGGATTCGCAATTCCGAGTATTACTCTGCTCAGGAATTTTTAATTATAGCCAAGCTAGTTTCTGGAGAAGATAATCATTCCATTTTTTCTCTTGAGTAGTGTCGATTTTGGACAGGCTATGATGTTTTATTTCAAGAGTTCCGATTTAGCTTTACGCGCAAGGCGTACCCGAGTTCAACCATTAAATCTAATTATCTGTGAATCATTGAAAACCCAGTTGTATGAACCTTTTCTTGATTGGTTTTGTCTTGTTACATAGATTAACGCTGATTTAAAAATTTCCATCCAGAAGTAGTAAAAGCTGCTTGGTAATTGATGAATTAGCTTGTTTCATCCATGAATCAGTGCTGGAAAGTTCATTTTTTGTCATAAACGAATTAGAGAAAAAATGGAAATAAAACTTCAACAAGACTGCTCAAATAAGGGCGAAGTCCTGAATGTTCCGACTGCCTTTGGAGCATCATTGAAATGAAAAAATGTAATAAAATAAATTGATTTTTTTTAATTTGAATTTTTTTTTGTGAAAATCATCCCCCATACGCCATTATAAGGAACAAAGTGATAGATTACGCTCCTTGCAACAAATCAATTAGGGCAAAAAGCCTGCTTCAACCAATTTGGAGTAATTTCGAAGACGGATTAAATCTCCGCTTACGCGTTAATAGCGCGAAATAGATCGCGCGTTAATTGTCCCAAATTGGTCAAAATGTCAATGTTTAAACCCACTTAATTTTAGAAAAAATGATCACAGGTGAAAATTCTTTTTTAAATGTAAGCTGAAGACTACAATACCTTTTGAATGATAAAAAAATCCGTCAAAAATGACGTGTTAAAAGTCAAAATTTGTCTGAAGAAAAACCCAACCGAGCACAAATATTCGGTTAATTTCGTTACTAATGTCGGAACAATAAATTTGATTCTGGCGCTGCGATTTGCGTATGCACGGCAATTGTTTAAAATTAGTCAGCATACAATAGTTTTTATCCGCTCTTTGTTGAGTTAGCGACGGCGGAGCAGAGGATAAATATTGGGCTAGAGTTCTATAAATTGGGTTCGAGCTCCGTTGGATGCTTTCCTTTTTTGCACTATTCTGAAAAAGTCTGAAATCAGCTTTGAATCTTTGCTAGAGAATGAATACCCATAGCTTAAACGGCAAATTCAATCAATGAATCATTGACGTACCTCATTGAGTTGTACTGTTCGACGAATTTTGATCATTCTATCAACCCGGGTAAGCAGTCAAAATGTGATGCGTCAAAACATTCGAACGAGGTTATAGGTGAAAATACAGCTAGCTAACTTCTTTTTGACAGAGTTTTTAACTGACTCAGCCTTCAACCTAATACTTCAATTTGTTTTTGAATGTTCCTAGACGTCGCGTTAACGAGGCAGCACACATCTTACTCAATTTTAGTTTTTCATTGTACTTGCGAGAGCAAGTGTCTTGTAATCGAAAACTAGGCTTTTTCGTAAATAACTTTTCTTACAAATCTGTAAGAAATGAAACTTGCTGTTTAATGAAACCTTAACAATTTCCAGACTCCTTCTTACTTGGCATATAGAAAAATTGAATTGGCTGACTTTCGTTTGTCTGCTCAAGTTTTGTCGTCTTAGTTGCCACATCACGGAGTGTCTGCTTAGTTGCCACATCACGGAGTGTCTGCTTAGTTGCCACATGGAGGAGTGTCTGCTAAAAGATTCTCGGCTTTCTTTCCGCGTCGGAAAGTTTATATTCAAATATCATGTTTGGCATAATTGCCTAGAATGAACTTTTATCGAGACATACAAAAATTTTGGTAGACCTATTTTTTGTTTTAGTTTTTTATAGTTTTCTCTGCTCATGTTTTTAAGTGGTGATGTATTACATTAGGTGATAGTTTTGAGTATAGTGCATGTATTAAATTTGAGAACTCTAATGCATAATATAATCATTTCTTTTTCAATCAATTGTACATGCTACTAAGATAGTTTTTTGGAAATACATTACTATGACAGATGAAATTTTATTGAAAAATTCAATCTTTACTCCTAATTTGCCAAAAAAATTGGTTTTTGAAATAATTTATAAACTATAAGTCGAAGTATAACAAAAAGCGCTCCAGCTATTTAACATCCATCTGCCAATTATTGAAGTATATCACCTTTTAAGTTTTTGTTTTATCGCTAGTGGTGCAAAGCCCCGCTTCCCCTTTGTGTATTATTTTTTTGTAAAGATTATGCAGACTTTCCCTAACATAGTCCCTACCAGCAAATTGTACTAATTTATAATAGTCAAGTCATATTAGTGTAGGGATTTATAGTTTTTTTCTACTTAAAGGTTTTTTCTAATTAAAGTAGTATATAAATGAAAAGCTCACGTCACAAAGATAAAAGTTTGCTCAAGTGGATAAAAAAGCTATAGTAGTCAAAATTGCACAACAAGCGCGCTTCCAAAACATATTATAATCGAGACAATTACTTGTATCAGGGCGAATCTTATTTTTCATGCCGTAAGAGATTTTTCTCATAAATTTAGTGTTTGCGAAAGTAATGCTTCGCTTTGTGCAATTTATAGCACCATTTCTTATCACAGTCTAGTTTGTTTTACCATCATTTTTCAAACTCAGAGCTGACACTGAGTTAAAATTCGTAACAGATTGACGGGAATGTAAAAGTAAACAAAGGTTAAGGGAAAAAATTGAAATTTTGTGATCATTTTATTTTCTTCAATTTGATATAATGGTAAAATATTTTTAAAAACTAAAGCTCATGTTTCTTGTATTCTAGCTCAGATTGACACATCAAACATGATGACAGAACAGCATTTTTGGAGCGTATAACTTTGTGATGTGGCTCGAAAAGACATCATCTGAGAAATCGTCAAACTTCAAACCAATTGTGAGTTAATTAGCGCGTTGTTTGCATGCAATGGTAAATGACATCAACGAACTTTATAATTTCTTTTTTCTCTAATTAAGTAAAGCATTTTTTTAATACAACTTGCGGTGCTTTATGGTTGAATGAATTACTCATTTTAAATTAGATGGTATAAAATTGAGACATGACATTTATATGTACAAAAAGAAACCGTCAACTTTCTTATTAAACTTTTAATGAGCCTTGAATTTAAGCTGCGCGACGAAATATTGATGGTTTCATTCGCGTCGATAATTTCATTGCTTCCGTTAAACTATTAGTGTAATTCTATTGATCTGAGTTGAAGCCAATTTAAATGCATTGTCACTTTATTGTTTTTGGTTGGTGTTACGATTTTAAAACAAAACCTGCATTGTTGTTTAAAACACTCAATTCAGGGGTCTTTTCGGTTATACCCCTACTTTATGAAAAAAGCTAAAAGGAAGGTTTTATTCGAAAGTTGGATCGATTTCACTCAGAAATGGTGGGCCGATATCCCGCGCATTGGATCAAATTGAAAATATTCTCAAAGTACGAAAAAAAAAGAAAAATAAAACAGCATTTGGGCTCATAATTATGGAATTTTTGTGCAGAAAAGGGTAAAGAATGAAGAGGAAAAAGCCACTGTGGGGTTTATTTGAGTAAACTGCTTCGTTGTGACCGGTCGTACATTACTCTTTTGCCTTTTCGAATCATATCGATCCAATTTTTCCGTATAAGTTTTCCGTATAAATTTTCATCCTTTAAGGGGGTTATAACCGAAAAGACTCCAATTCAGTTATAAACATAGCTGTTTTCGAATAATTTTCATTTACCGGAGAAATGGTGCATTTATACATGGTTGGCTGCGGCGGCGTCGGCAAAACCACACTCATTAATGAATTAGTCAAAGACCCTGAAATCAGTTCTCAAACCAAAAGAATCTCTGAAGTTGCACGAACTATTCTGAAAGAAAGAGACATAACTGGCCCTGAAATGACATCAGACAAAGATCTCTTTTGGGAGTTCCAGTTACTCATAATCCAAGAACAGTTGAAACGCGAGTCTCTAATCCAAGCAAGCGAAGACCTGATTTCGGACAGGTGTTCTCTGGATGCAATAGTGTATGGCATTTTATTCTTCAGCGAAAAGTTTGACCCAGTTGTCATAAATAGCATTACAATGCAAAATTTCGACCCGAATTCTACGAAAAATTCAGACATGATGCGACAAATTTTGA